GGACAAAATCCAGCACAACTTTCACTCCTGCTCACTTCAGTTAGGTTTCGTCTTTCCGAAGATGAATTTTGCACGCGTCGGCTAATCTCTGCCCTTTCTTCAGGTTTTGCTTTCATGATTTATTTATGCACTTACTTCCTGTCATAAACAGCGTTATGGCAACCCCCAGTCCAAAAAAGGACTGCGTTTTTTCTCTCCATTCCGTTTAAAACACTCGATATTTCAAATGAAAAGGAATATCTGAGCAGTAGTACTGTGTACAGTGCACTGTTTAACACTCGCTACCAACTCAGTTACTTTTGAATGCCTCCCCCACTCGTTTGGCGTGACTGCGGAACAGATTCTGACTTTAACTTCGACATCATCTTTATTTTAGATTTCTGTTTTTAAGCAAATATTTTTCATCACCTAAAAAATACCTGTTCGAAAGCGATAAGCTGTCGCCAGAAGCCAATGTTGGGCCTCACAAGTGGTCGTTTGCTTGCCATCAATTGGTAAGCCTGTCTGAGTGAACTGCACCGGAATTTGGTGAGAAATGCGAGGCAAATTGTGGCAGAACGGGATACCCCTGCTACGCAGTGCACTAAGACATTACCACCACCAGCGATAACCGCTTCAATCTAAAACCACTTTTTTTCGAAGAGAAAATGAGATCCTATGCCTTAGTAATATCTCTCAGATTTTTATGGATGGCTTTTCTCATTTTTTTTTGCCGAATTCCATTCATTCTCATATTCAGTGTTTTGAAGAGCCTCACCGCCACACCCCTTCCACTTCTATACAGGATAGGGCACACTATACTGCGAAACGGTCGAGGAGTCAAAGTGTTTACAATCCGTTATCAGCAAAAATCAGCTACTCGAAACGGAGAAAAAACGAGAAATTCCTCAAATGTGTTTCGACTTTCCAATCAGCAGCATGATCCTACTCCCAAAGTCAAAAATTCAAGCTAAAACTCATTTCACAAGTAAACAATTCAAGATCTTTACCCTGGCTTGTTTCTTAGCTCGAAAAAGAGAACCATGGACAGCCTTGCTAGCGAGTAATTGCTGCTCACATTTGCTACCGCTCTATAGTTTTTGCTTATGGCAAATAGATTTTATGCGTTTTTGCATGTATGCAAATGCAAAAATGCATTTTGGCAAGGGGCTGTCTTTGTGTGTGCATGAGTCTATGTCTCCCCACTTTTTGTTGCCCACTTCCAACTCGAGAATTAGAAAAGCTAGAAAGTTGGAAAATCGGGAGTATGTGCCCACCCCTATGCGACTCTGTCGGTTTAACATTATCATTCGCGTACGCCTGGGTCCCACGTACGGATGCCTCAAAAAATATGCAGTTTTTGGCGGGAAAGCGATCTCGGGAATCAGGCAAGGAAGAGAGCTGAAACTTTGCAGGGATATTCTCTGTGCATGTGTGAGCTAGGAATTCCTAACTCAGCCCCGAGTATGCGTAGTTTCCACATGTAGGCACGCGAAAGTTTCGGCGGGAAAACTGCTAACTTAGGAACCAGAAAAGCTGGAAAGCTGAAATTTTAGGCTTTATTCCCCGCCCACGTACAACTCAAATATTTTAAATTCAGTCTCCAGGTATGCGTGGTCTTTACGTACAAGCATGTGAAAACCTTCAACCCGGGGATCAGAAAAGCTAGAAAGCTGAAATTTCAAGGGGATGTACTCTGCCCAAGTATAAAATAAAGATTTCAAGTTCAGCTTTCAGGTATGCCTGGTCCTCATGTATGGACACTTAAAAGTTTTGGCAGGAAAATTGCTTACTGAACACCTAAGTCATTTTTAAAGGACGGCCGTCAAATGGAAGTTATTCATTTCCCTTTATGCAAAATTTATGATGATTTACGCTAGTGAGAGCAAAAAGTAAATGTAAAGCAACAACTAGTCATACAGTTAACGGCTGATTACTTCAAGTTTGATGCAAAACCGCATGATTGCATCGGAAGGCCTGGCACATCCCATGCTGGTTGACTTTAACAATTCCAGAACTACCATAAAGCAAACAGCATTCAAGTCCTGTATGGCAGAATGTCCTTTTTTATGCGTTTTTTGTTTATTTGTAAATGCAAAAACGCATATTGTGACGACCCAGTGTGCGTATGTATGTGTGTGTGAGTGTGTGTGTGTATGTGTGTGTGCGCGCGCGTATGTGCGTATGTGTGTGTGCGTATGTGTGCGTCTGTCCGGGTATTTCAATTCGGCACCTAAGCAAGCTCTGGCGCAAAAATTTTGCGAATGGGCTCCTCGGCCAAGTCCCACTCCGGAGACGTGGTACCAACCCCCACGCACGTCTAGGCCCCGCGTATGAGAGGGTGGAAATTTTGACGGGAAAATCGCTAACTCGAGAAATAGAAGTGCTAGAAAGCTGGAATTGTGAGGTTATGTTCTCCGTCTATATAGAGCTCAAAGATTTCAGATTCGGCCCCCAGGTATGCGTGGTTCTCACGTATGGCCCCGTGAAGTTTCCTGGCGGGAAAATCGCTAACTTGGGATCCAGGAAAGCTGGGAGGCTGAAATTTTAGGGTTCTGTTCCCAGCCACTGCAAAAGCTAAAGACATCATATTTAGTTTCAGATACATGTGGTTCTCACGTATGGACCCATGAAATTTTTTGGCAGGAAAATTGCTAGCCCGAGAACCAAAAAAGTTGGGAGGCTGAAATTTTAAAGGAATATTCCTTGTCCAAGTACCGTGTAGAAATTAACTTTCCGAATTTCAATGACCTGTATATCACACATTCTAACTGGGTTCCCGAGCGATCTCATTACAGCGCGAAATACTGCAAAAACACATGATCGCATGGGTCCGCCTGGTACGCGTCGCCAATGATTGGCTAAGAATTGTCAAAAATTTTAAAACAGAACGAAAATTTATGTGGAATACTGAACTAAAACAGCTGAAAGAAAACAAATCCAGTAAGCACACTCTCCTTGTATTTATGGATCCGAAACTCCGCTGAAAAGTGCTAATTTTAGATAAAAAAATGGAAAAAATTTTGCTAGATGTGATTCGAATTTGACGCACAGTTTCCCATTCTCCTCCAACAGCCACTCAGAAAAAATCAACAAATAAATGTACAAACGATGGCAAAAAAAACTGTACTTGCTCGGCCTGCAAAACAAGCTCTGAGTAGATTGATGCTTGTGGAGTATCTTCAAGCCACAGTTTGATCCGTGGAATACTGCCGAGGGCTCGTATGTTGGGCACCTAAAATCCCGGATTTTCACGAAATTTTTTGAGTCAAACTTTTGAAATCGTAAATCCTTAATGAATAGTAAAAACTGCTGCCCTTGGTGCGATCCCCCATATTTTTTGCGCTCGAAGCTTCGCACTCCAGCAAACTCTTGCACGATTTTTCAGCAGTACACATATTGAGGACCCCAAAGAAAATTACTACTGAGTTAGATAAGACGTCACACGTACAAGGGAGGAAATGAAAGATATAGGCTGATCTGACAATTTTAGAAAAGGCTGGAATAGTGATAATTACAGATAAGAAATATCACTACTTCTCTGTACAAACTGTCATTATTACTGTGTTAGCTACTACTTCTTCCTTGCAAAAGGAACTGTTACTTTTTTACGTCGTCGTATGAGTAAACTCATTTTTTTTTAGAAAAACGAAGAAAGACACACACGCTGAAACCACCGTCAGGTAAATTACAGCTTCGTGTACAGCGAACGCGGGGAGATAGCGAGAAGGTACGCCACTTGAGACGATAGCAATTTTTATGCAGGAACTGTTGCAAATTTCCCACACTTCCCTTCATGTTCCACTATTTCCAAAATACAGGCAGCGTGATAAAAACGGTTTCCCCCTATAAAGTTTTCCGACCACAGACATTCAAGCTAGGAAGCAGCGCCGGAAAGTCCTTCCTGCAGCACAGCAGTTTTCTCCACAATGAATTCCAAACATAACGACCTCATTTGTTGCATTGATGATTAGCGATATGTTGTACTTCTCGATGTTCACGGGTGTCAGCGAGCTCACGCCACATATGCACAGGCCCGGTACAATTTCAGTAATCTGTGCATATTCAGGATTTACACTGAATGATACCGGCGCCATATATCCAGAAAAGTGTTTTTTCAAAAACTGAAATTAGCTGTGTAGCTGGAACCGCAAAAAATGCGGATTGCGAAACTCGAGAAGTGAAGGGACCGAGGAATACTAAAAGAGTAAGAGGGTGGTTAAACTGACAGATGATGTAGCACTAGGAACCAAGGAGTATGCGAACAAAATAGGGACAGCTGTAGCAAAAGTACAGTGCTGACTGACCACAGGTCCTCTTGCTACTGACCAGAGAAGCATAGTTGCGGGCAGCACTGAAACTGGTGTTTCGATGGGCGAAAATGTGGATGCTGGTCCCAACCATTTTGATGAACGCTAATTTTGAACCGAACAGCTGAATTTTACTGCACCTTTTTGCGTTTTCGAAAAGATATTCACTTCTGGCACACACATTCACTTCTGGCACACACACACACACACACACACACACAC